CTCCCCCCCCCCCCCTCCCCCCCCCCCCCGAGGCATGCTACGCACTGGTGCCTTGAGGGCACATTCCGCTTCTGGTGGGCGAGTCTCTGCGTACCACCATCCATCTTATGCCTCTTTCATTGGGAATATGTCTCCGACAAATTGTTCCTCCGCCCATTCCTGATCCTGGGTCACTTCCCGCTCTCTGGTAGATTCTGCAGCCAAATCATGCATTTTTGCCTTTGTGAGCTCACTTCCGGCGCATACCCCGGCCGCTGCGGGCGGGATCTGGCTTGATTCATATGTGCTGCATACATCTTCATCCATGGCCTACCATCCAAATCTTGACCCAGTCTCTCCAAGTGGCCTTCTTCTTATTATATTTCAAAAAACAACAAATGGAAAACACCAACAAACTGAACTTTCAGCCGCGAACATTACTAACTGGAGAGGCTGGAGAAAGAGTAAGGACTGCGGAAGAGCAAGGCTGGTGAATTTCTGTCACTGAGGGGCCAGAGGAAAACGTTCCCGAGCGGAGCCATTAGCCAGCCAGGCAAAGTCACTTGAATAAAATCGCCTTCTGATGATCCTCTCTTTCTGATATAACATAGAAGAGGATTACACAAGGGGAGGGAAGAGCAATGTACATGCGACCCGCCCATAAGGTTAGCGCGGAATGTCCTCTCACATAAGATGAGACCTCGAATAAAAAATGTGAACTCTGTATGGAAAACTGACCCTAATCCGCATCGTTGACACTCAAATACGATGGTGGTCTTCCGATCTATTAACTTCTCATTTCCTAATGGCCACTTTTAATTCATTTATCTGTTGATCATTCCAGCCATGGGCGTAGGCCATGTGCATATAAATGACAGTCGTCCATTTACCACATACGGTACACGTACGTCGCGGTTTCATGTTCACCTGAAGGAGTGCTTTGAGAAAAATTACGTGCTTAAGTGCATAGAAAAAAATGGTGAATTCACATGCTAGCAATATCATCGCGCATCTCCTATATGGGAGTCATGCAAGTCTCCTGTGATGTCAGAACACCATCACCTGCGAGCGGTGAGAGCGGCGAACATACTTGCGTACTTAATTGGGAGGAAGCTTCATTGTGCAGTGCATAAAGATATGACCAAACTATCAAAAAAACGAGGGCCTTCGATTTGTTCGAAGTTCTTTTTTTCACCACTGCGGATGTATAAGATCTAACTTCACGTCCCATTACTCAT